TTTGAGTGCAAATACATCCCGGGTTTGATCAAATACATGTTGGCCAGAGGTGGTATTTAGCAGGTTCTGACCGGTTCTGGAGAACTGGTAGCGGAAATTTTGAGTAGTTCGGAGAACCAATAAATCCCACCTCTGACTGGAGATTTTACAGTATCCTTCCCCTGCCATGCCCACCAAGCCACACCCACAGAACTGGTAGTAAAAAAAAATTGAATCCCACCACTGATGTTGGGCATATCAGATTGGAAAGACATTCTTAACGTCTGTACTTAGGAAGTCTTTTTTCTTCACTTTGGTCTCAAGACATTGCCACAATGGGTGAAGAATTCAGAAAGAAATCATCCCTCTTCATGCATTCAGTTCTGTTTGGGAAAGCTATATTTTTCCACAATATTTCTATGTTATGGTGTAAAATTTCTTGGAGAAAGAGCAAGCTATTGCTGTGATCCATATATAAATAGCAATTTCCTGTCAATTTCCTGTCTCAAGTTTCCCCACCTGTGAATAGCATCTGGCTTTTGGGAAAAATCATTATATTTGTGAAGTCTTTTCATGGTGCCTATTAAGGATCCCCTGGGCATTTCTTAACAATCCCTTAAAATGGGATCTCAAATGGTAAATTTCTAGGGATATTTAGATGATGGCCGCTGGAGCTTCAGCCATGGTGCTCTTAGCACTGTTGCAGAATTGAATCTCCAAACGTCCTGAAAGATTTAATTCCCATATGGAAGAAGTCACTAATTTTTTTCAGTGAGCTTCATAACTTCTTTCCTATTTCTTCCGGTGGTACTTTTCATCTGGCTTTGTTATAGGACCACCAATGACCCAGGAGGAATGAGAAGATGAGCGGAACAAGGGTAGAGACAGAGATGTCAGAGAGGAGATAGAGATAAATGGTAGATAATAGATAAATAATATGTGTGCTTGCATGTTAATGGATGGATCAATGAAAGTATATAAAATAGAAAGCAAGTGTATAGGATGCATGTGAGGAGCAGAAAGATATTATGTTCAAGGATGGCCCTAAAACTGATATAAACTGGCATTTTGCTTTTCTATGGGTAATCAAATAGTTAGCTTATCATTTTTTCAATAGCAACATTGTCTTGTCTTCAGTGGTACGAGCATGCTGTGTTTTTCTTTTTCTTTTTTTTAAATTTTTTAATTGGTTTTTAAAACAAACATAAACAAACAAAACATAAAAACATCAAATCATCTTCCATATATGTACATACAGTGTGCCGGTTGGTTTACAAATTGTTTTGTGCTTCCATTTCATAGTCTTCAATTATAATTACATTGTATATAATCTCATATTTTCAATCAATATATTAAATACATTAATATAATTATTAATCAATCATTTAACTATACTTTTATTCATTCATGTTTTCCAAAATGATCATATTTTACTTAATTTGTTTTATAACAATTCGTATCATCATCCCTGATCTATCCTAGAATCATTTTGTAGATACATCTTTATATATTTATTATTTTCTAAAAGTCTACATATTTCATTACTATATTTTATTGTCTAACCATTGATAGAATAGATCCCAAATTTTATAAAATTGTTTATCATCTTGTTCTCTAATTTCAAATGTCAATCTACTCATTTCAGCACATTCCAATATTTTCTTAATGATTGCCTCCTGTGATGGTATTTTCTCATTTTTCCAGTTTTTAGCAAATACAATCCTAGCCACTGTTAATACATTTACAATCAGGTATTTCAAGTCTTTACTATATATTTCAGGTAAAATTCCCAATAAGAATATTTCTGGTTTCAAATCTATATGCTTTTTTGTCACTTTTTCCAACCACGTGTGGATTTTAGTCCAGTATTTTTTAGCATCCGCACAAGTCCACCACATATGGTAATATGAGCCAGGTATCTGATGACATTTCCAAGATTTTTTGGATTTATTCTTGAACATTCTTGCTATTCTTGTTGGGGGAAAGTGCCACCTGTAAAACATCTTATACAAATTTTCTTTATATGCTGTTGACTTTGTCATTTTATAATTTTGAGACCACAATTTTTGCCATTTCTCAAGATCAATCCCATATCCAAAATTCTTCCCCTAAGCAATCATCGTTTCTTTAACTTGTTCTTCTTCTAGTTTAATTTCTAATAAATATCCATACAATTTTTTAATCACCTTTTCATCAGTACCTGTCAAAATCTTATCTAAGTCAGTCAGTTTATCATAGAAACCTTCTGTTTTAGAATCTTTATCATACCTTGAATGTATTTGCGCATATGAAAACCAATTCATCTTTATACCTTGTTCCTCTAGTTTTTGTATAGATTTAAGTTCACCCTTTTCATTCAATATTTCACCATATTTAACTGTTTGTTCCTTTTTGTATATTATAGGATAAGAAAATGCTTCAATAGTCGATAGCCAGACTGGAATTTTCAAATAACATTGTCTTTTGATCTTCTCCCAATTTAACCACAGAGACTCCCGTATATAATGTCTTCTAAAGTACCCCTGTGTTTTAGTTCCTTTATACCATAAAAAAGCATGCCACCCCAACAACAGGTGACTGTTGTCTTTCTAATGTCAACAATCTAGTATTTCTTAATGTTATCCATTCCTTAACCCACATCAAATTTGTAGCTTGGTAATACAACTCCCAATTAGGCAAACCAAATCCTCCTCTTATTCTAGCATCTTGCAAAAGTTTTAACTTTATTCTCGCTTTCTTACCTTGCCATATATATTTCAACACAATTTTATTTAAATCTTCAAAGTACTCTTTTCCAAGCCTAATTGGAATTGTTTGAAACAAATATAAAATTCTGGGTAATATATTCATCTTGACTGTTGATATTCTCCCTATTAATGACAGTTGTAAATTTTCCCATTTCGCCAAATCTAGCACTATCTGCTGTTTAAGTTTAATATACTTATTCTCTTTTAGTGTACTGCATCTTGCTGTCAAGTATATCAAGTATATCATGCTTAAACAGATATCGACAGGTGCCATTTTAAAATTAGCCAAGCTCTTCAGAGCAAATACTTTGCTCTTATATCTTTCTTCTCTGCTTCACCAGATATTGCATGGCAAGTAAAATACCCCCCTATCTATAATTAATTATACAAAATTTGATAATTATCTTTTGCAGTTTGTGGTTCTTCGAATTTGGCACTTGGAGGGCTTTAAAGGGAAATTACATTGTTGATAGGTACTGTTCATGAGATATAGATCAATTCCAGAATTGGATCCAGAATGCTCTAAAAATCTTTAGTAAACAATAGAAGGAGAATTACAAGATCCAGCACTACACATATTGTATAATATTGGATCTTGTAATTCACTTACAACAATAACAGCATAAAAAGAAATCAAATACCTAAAACCAAATAATAATACAACAACAATAAAGTAAAAGCAATTAAATAGCATATATATCAAATATCACAAACATTAGATATTAGATAGAATAATTGTTGCCAGTTCAGTGTACAAGTAGCCCTCCACTTATGCCCATGAATGAGTCCAAAATTTCACTTGTAAATTTTTACCGTTGTAAGTCGAGGCATCACATGTTTGGAATCAAAGTTGCAATGATCGTTTATGATAGTTGTTAAATAAACACCATAGTCTTTAAGCGAATCCATTTCCCCAATGGGTGTTTTGTTGGAAACTGTAGCTAACACTAGAAACTGAGTGATGGAATGTACAGCTGGAGAATGAGTAAGGGAGGATGCAGCAATTCCCAGATATAAGCCCAAAACAAGAGAATGTTCAATCTTGAACTGGATGGGGAAGGGAGGAAAAGGATCAGTGTAACCACACCCTAGAATTTGCGAGTTTGCTTGTACCTATTATGTTAGAAAGTTATGGCGTTAGTCTGGCAAGATTCTGTCTTTTAGGTGTAAACTAATAAAGAATTGGACTCTCACTGTGTCTTTGGCCATATGCCTGACCTTGGTCATTAAGTGACTGGTCATAAGTTGAGGACTACCTGTAGTGCCAGCGAGTCAGTTTGATGTAGTGATTAAGGTACCAGGCTAGAAACTAGGGGACATAAGTTCTAGTCCCATTTTAGGCACGTAAGCAGATGTGGGAGTTTGGGCCAGTCATTTATTTACGGCAATGAAAAACCACTTCCCAAAAACCTTACCAAGGAAACTGCAGGGACTTGTCCAAACAGTGTCATTATTTCTTGGGAGATCCCGTTACAGATTAAAAATATAGATTATCATCTTTGTCTTTTGATAGGGTATGCAGTTGAGGTCCTGGACTCATGGCTTCTGATCAAGGAGCAGGAGAACTTTTGCCTAGTTCTGACTGGCTCATCAGTGCCCTTACCTCAAAGTGGAAGCTCCTGAGTAAAGTTACACATGCTCTTGTCATGTCCAAAAACAGATTACTGTAATTCACTGTATGTGGGGCTGCCCTGTAGGTTTTTGGGGCAGTCTCAATACTACCACATTATATCACTGCAGCAGGAGCTATAATAGTTGCCAGTCTTTTTTTAAAAAAAAACAACAACAAGTTTTATTAATTTTTCAAAAACAAACAAATCATCATTAACCATTACATACTTAAACCTTAATAGTTGCCAGACTTTTGAGTGCAATTTAAAGTGTTGGCTGCTACCTGTAAAGTCCCATAAGGGATTGTCTTCTTGGCAGCATTTCTGCTTTTGGAGGCTGAAAGAATTGACAGGCCCAAGTCATCCAGCTGGCTTTGTGGCTAAGGCAGGACTAGAACACCAAGATTCCTGGTTTCCAGTCTGACACGTTAACCATTGCATCAAACTGGCTCTTGGAAAGTAGGAGGGGGCTGTTATAAAAGGATCAGCTCTAGGTGGCAAATATTTATTTAATTTATTTTTATTTTATTTTATTTTATTTGTCAATCGCTTACAAGATAATAGGTATAAGTATAAACATGAATAAGAATAGAGGAAATAGGTACAATAGGTATACCACTGTTTGGCCAAACTTCTCACATATATTTTGTTTTCATTCCTGCAGAGGTGCTTTTTCCATTGTCAGAAGATGTGTGAAAGTGCTGTCAGGACAAGAATATGCTGCCAAGATAATAAACACCAAAAAACTTTCTGCTCGCGGTAAGTGCTGTCTGGTTCTAATATTGTTGCCTTTATTTCATTTCCAGGCCACAAGTGGCATTTAAGCTACATCTTTAATAGTATTTTCTTCTATTTATTGAATCTGTATAGGAAGAGCTTCAAGAGGCATAGTCTACATCAGGGGTCTCCAACTCCTGGGGAGCAGCCCACTACTCAGCTGTGGCCTGTTCAGAACCGGGCTGCACAAGCAGCTGGCCGTCACATGCATGCATGCAGCTTTACTCACTCAAGCAGTGGCCAGCACAGACACACCAGCTTGCACCAGCTTGCACCAGCTTGCGTGGGCCAGTTCCCCTCTCCCCCCCTCATGGGCTGCCAAACTGTAAAAATTGGAGACCACTGGTCTATGCCGCTTATTAGCATGCAAGAAAATCAGGTGCCTGGCAGCGGTTGGATACAGAGGTGAAAACTGCAGGATAGGGATGAATAATGGGTCAGAAAATATAATGCTGGTATTATTTTTCTGTACACTCTTTTATTCCCAGATTTTCCAAGCACTAAACTTTTTGGTATGACTTTTCCAAATATTTTTTGCTTTTATCATTTGGAAAAAAAACTGTTGGCCTTTGTGCCACGGTAGAATCAATACCTAGAAACTGCTTTTCCTTGTTAAAGAGTAACATGTGTCAAAGGCTGCATTGCCCAGAATAGTGGTGGGATGAGGATCAAAACTAAATTTGCATTAATTGCATTCACATTGTCACTGTTTCATTTAAATGCAGAACCATTGACTGTCATGTCTGTAATGTTTTTCTTGGACACATAATTATTTACCCATTTAAGTTATTTGTTAGGTTTTTATCAAAGGTAGTACCAAGAGCAATAGGTGCTTTGGGTGCAATTGTAAAACATCTGGAGCACCACTCGAACACCAGAGGCATTGACAAAATCACCATCAATCAATTGAAAAAAAAAAGAGCTTTACTTGGTACTGCTCACATCCTGTGACAATACCTTTAACACCATCAAACAATCACATTTGCCTAACCCTGGTCTTTGGGAAGAATTCAAGAGGTGGACAATAAATGTCAGATTCAATATAATCTGACCACAATACTAACATCCCGCAATCGGTGGATGTTAGAGGTACTGACATTTAATATTATTAAATAACATCTACCGATTCCGTGTCATTGGGAAGGTGAACAAATATGCCAAATCCATTCTAAACAACTGACTGATTAGCTACCAAATGATGGGGACTAGCCATGTTAATGGAAACCATTGGAGATAGGTGATCCCCTAAATAGCCTGGCCTATTTCCATGTAGGGCTATAAAAGTGATAACCAGCAACTTGAATTGCACTCAGAAGCATGCTGGGAACTAATGCAGCTCACATAATAGCAAAATTTGATGGATGTATTTGGTGTGCCCAGTACTGCATGTTTCACTGCAACTGAAGTTCTGAATGCTCTTCAAAAACAGCGCTGTGTAAAGTGTGTTGTAACAGTTCAAATGAGAAGTGATTAAGCAACCTAAAACATGCACAATATTGCACAAACTGTAATTGTGTGAAGGCCTTTCCCATCCTTTCTCAAAATGTTAGGTATGCTTATTTCTTTCCCTTCTTCTAATATCCAGCTAATTCTTGCTCCATCTTTCTGCCCTTTACCTCATTTCTCAGACAAAATCAGGCAGTTGATAAAGAGAGTTTTATAAGAGGCCACCATCACTGCCTTCAGTATCTTTCTATGGCAGGTTCCATATTCTACAGGATTCAGCTACAGGCCAAAGAACAGCAAGAAGTGGTATTACTTGAATGAATGTAGCCATCATATTTTAGCCCATACGGGGAGGTTATGGATAGGAATAAAACACAAAATGCAAACACTCCTTCCTTTAAACTGCCAAAACTAAAAACGAGCCTTGAAATATGCTTCTTTAGGGGAAGGGTTTGCAGGGTTTAAAGGAAGAGAATGGGAATGGGTATACTTTGGGAAGTAAGTTGCTGACATACCTACCCTGTCTCCATTCCTAAATCCAAAATTAAGCCATATGGACAGACTCGGGATAGGTTACAGGTGGGAAATTGTGGAAATTTAAGAGTGGGAGCTTTTTCCAAGTCATTTCTCACTATTATTCCACTGAGGTACAATGATGACTTTAATGCCAGCAATTAGGCCTTTAGCCAAGCTGTACAAAAATTATGCCTTAGGTCACAATATAAACCCTTTTTAAACTGAGATTTGGAGATTGGTCCCAAAAACTCAGAAGGCCTGGATGAAGTGAGTGTGGCCAAGAGAAATAGCACAATGGATTACATTACCCTAACTATTGTATGTTAAATTAACTGAAGACAAGTAATGTATCTATTCTATTAAAGTACTTTATTAAAGAGCTGTGGTGGTGCAGTGGTTAGAATGCAGGCTACTTCTGCTGCCTGCCAGCTGCCAGCAATTTGGCAGTTCAGGTCTCACTGGCTCGAGGTTGACTCAGCCTTCCATCCTTCTGAGATCGGTAAAATGAGGACCCAAATTGTTGGGGCAATATGCTGACTCTGTAAACCACTTAGAGAGGGCTGTGAAGGGCTGTGAAGTGCTATATAAATCTAAGTGCTATTGCTAAGTGCTATTCTCCATAGCTTCAAAATTTTCCTTGGCTGTCACATTAAGTATTTCAATTCGATAGGAGTTTTTGGAACTGATTCAAGCCATGGGGAAGGAGATCTTCTGCCTTAGGTTCATGCAGAATAATTATGATCCCACATTGCCTTTTATGGCATAAGAAACAGAAATATTTTATTCTGCGAGGGAATTAAAAAACAGCCAACTATTTAATTCTTACTACTCCAAAGTAATTTTTTATTTGATCATGATTCTGTTCAATGTACCAATTTGCTAAATCATCCAAACTTTTAAAATTATTTGCTCTATTGAGAATAGCCTTTGGAACTATCACCTTTTTGCCTTCTTGTATGTGAAAACTTGCTCTTTTCTTGGTTTCTCCCGTACCTTTTAAAGAAATTGAAATGAAGGGTATTTTCACACATCACCTCTGAATCTCTACTGCAATCTTCTTGATAATGTGGCAGAAAAACAAGAAAACATTTGTAGTGTGAATAAGCATTCTGGCAATGTAAGTTTTACATTTGCATTAGAAAGCTAGCTTTAAAGAGCTACTTTAACTCTCAAGTATGAAAACATCCATAGATTTCTCCCCCCAGCATTATAGAAATGTGCACTGGCTGAAGATCTTTTATCATTTGCCTCTAACCATAGCACTAATTTGTCCTTTCAAGGAGATATTCTGCAGTAATGCCTTGATACCGCTTTTGTCTTGTCTCTAATCTATGAATGATATAAGTGGAATCTCCCATCACTTGGAGTTAAAATAGCATTTCTCTTCTTATTTTGCCCCATAAGACTCAAGTGTTCTCAAGCTGTTCAGTTTTGTCACTCCTTGTCTTGGGAAAAAGCAAGGGGAGAGGGAAAAATGACACACTATGATAATTTTGTGATGACCTACCCTTGGATTTTATTTTGATTCAGCAGTGGGGAATCAGTCAACTATCAGAGTTCACTACCAGACATGGCAATAAATCTTAACAGATTTAACCAGATACTTAAGCCTGTATTCAGAAAGTGGCTTACAGCAGAGACACATAGAGATTAGATAAGTGCTTTAGGGCGGGCCAAAAAAAAAAAAAAAAAAAGAAACATATGGATAAGATTTGCCTACTGCAGAATGCAGAAACTGAGACTTGTTTGTCTGCTCTAGGCTTTCTTCTCCCACCTTTTGTGTCAAGGAATTTTTGACCAGGGTTAAAACATCTGCTCGGTGTTTACACAATAATTCTTAATGGCTGTGTCTGGCCTGAGAAACATTGCTTCAATCCTTACGCCTCCTGATGGGATCTCAAGGAAATTTGTCTTCTCCTCCATATGCAAAAAGGGTCATTTTCAACCTCTGCTATCTCCAGTTAAACACTTCTATGTCAAGCAACCATTCATTTTCTGATTGGGGTTGGTGAGAGCTGTAGTCCAATACATCTGTGGGATGCTATGAGACAGGAGTCTCCAAACTTGGGGACTTGGCAACTTTAAACATGTTGGCTGGGGAATTCTGGGAGTTGAAGTCTTAAAATTGCCAAGTTTGAAGACCCGGCTTAAGGAAAGGCAATCTAAACAGACACTGCCAGTCAGGGTTTTTCAGATAGACAAATCATTGAGATCCTTCGAAGAAAGCTTTGATCGGCTTTTATCTCCTCTTTTCCATTTTACAAACTGAGAGCAGGGATGTCAAACTCAAGGCCAGTGGGCCGGATTTGGCCCCGGGATGCTTAGATCTGGCCCATGAGGCCACCCTGGAAACATCAAAAGACCGGCCCGCGGTTTCCCTCCTGACTCTGTTTTCACTGGCAGAGGGACTGCAGGAAGCCGTCACAGCTGAAAATGGAACTTGGGAGCCCATTTTCTCTGACAGAGCACTTGGGCCACCACAGGTGCCCCCCAAATGAGTGATGTCAAGCTGGCCATGCCTACCTTGGCCATACCTACCCAGCCCCCAAGGTCAAACATAACCCTGATGCGGCCCTCAATGAAATCAAGTTTGACACCCCTGTATTAGGGTTTCTATATTTTCTTAAAGAAAGGATGATGGTCAGTAAAAGAAGGTTGCTCCCTTAGTCACCCAAAAGGCTGTTCAGGATGGTTTACCATTGGCTCCAGAAAACAAAGCATCTATATTTACTAATCTTATTTTTAAATGTAGCAAAACAGATTAATTTAAGGCAGCAACAGAAGCCTCTAAAGGGAAAGGGATGCAGCAGCAATGAAGCAGATTCCGTTTGCCTGGAGACAAATAAGCAGAGAGAGAGAGAGACACCATTCTTAGTCAAGTAGCACCTCAGGCTTCGGCTATGTCACAGAGGACTGCCTAGAAAGCACAGCTGCCATCCAGGTGAGGGGAAGCCCAAGAGGCAGGGCCAGATTGTGCACAATGAACTGCAAAAGGCAGCTGAAAATGTACACAGACCAGC